GCTCTCAGAATGTGTTCTGCTGTTTCTAGCAGAGCAGCTTTTATTATACATATGAACCATTATACGCCTCATGCTTGTATCTGAATTCTACATTTTGAGGTCCCTGAACAAAGTGGTCGCTGACCACCCCAAAAAATGGGATCAGTTCTTGCAGTCAACAATGTTTGCGCTCCGCACGAAGAAGCAGCTGACTACAAAATTTAGTCCATATTACCTCATGTTTGGGAGGGAGGCGAGGTATCCCTCAGAGGTGCCTAAAGAATATGAGGTAATTGATCGTTTCATAGTCTATTGGCAGTCTTTTGTGCACCATATTTCCAGCTATGTCCTCTACTTTCAAACTTTCAATTTTGTGGCAGGTAACAGAGGAGAAAATAAGCAGCATTCTGAGCAGAGAGGATCTGTCAGAAGGCCTCAAAAAGCAGGACTCTGTATTTGATGTAGTGAGGCTAAATGTGGAGAGGAGTAAAGACAAGGTCCGCAAAAGAAAAAAGGAGATGGGCCAAGATGATCAATTTAAAGTCGGGGATATGGTCCTACAAAAAAATGTGAGGAGGGAACAAAGAAAAGGGGGCAAGCTGGGGGCCGACATGTTGGGACCTTTTTCAATTATTAATATTGAAGGGAAAAGTGTGGACCTTGAATCTGACAAGGGGGCCCCAAAGTACAAAATAAACATGGACCACTTAACACACTACATACAGCCCGAGGCAAGGATCCCTGCTAAACTACAAAAATCCACTCCTCCTCTGGCTGGTACACCAACAATAGCCCCTCGACTGACGGAAGGAAAAGATTGTGAGTATACTTCCACAAAGTACAGCCTAAATTATGAATTTTACATAACTCTTTGGTTCTGTTTACAGTAATCACAGAAATATGGGAGGGTCACAAAAAAGAGACCCTGTGGTCAAAGGTTGGGCCATACAAGGTCTACTCTGAGAACTTAATGGACCTGGCCCCAGGAAAGGAGCTGGAGAGTGAGGTACTTTTTTAACTTTTTTTTTCTTTGGATATTTCTAATTTAGAAATTAGAAAACCAGTGGCTCGCACTCTTGTACCCATAGATCATGAATGCATATCTGTCCATTGTGGGGAAAAGAACGGGGGCATTTATAATTGATGCCTACACAATGACCGAAGTCTGGCAAGGCTCTCAGAAATGTTTCAGAAGGGTGAGTAGAATGTTCTTTCAAATAGTGATGCTCCAAATTGAGATGCATGTATAAAGTGTGTGTATACTTTTTTTTTTTTAGCTTGACCTTTTAAAACATGATGTGGCAGCTGGGGCAGTTTGCCACCACGGTCACTGGACCCTCATTGTAAGTAATCTTAAACATTAACTGATTTAGATACAAACCACACTCAGTCTGGTGTTTGAGGGGTTGGCTCTAATTTGTCATTTCATTTCCATAGATCTTGTATCTAAAGGAGAAACGGTCCTTGTTCTTGGACCCTTTTGGGGCCACTGGACAACAAATAAAGCACTGCAGAGATGTTACAAGGTGAGTGAGATACAATTTTTGTGATATTTATTTTAAACATTTCCTTGTGCAGCAATTTTTACTTCTGACTAAACTGAACAGGATGAGTTGAAGTTAAAATTGGCAACTGTATCAATTGTCTTCTGTGTAGAGCACTGGTCCGCAGATATTGTCCTGCCATTGGGAAGTGGGAGTGCTCAACAATGGCACATCCCAAACAGCAGGACACAACATCCTGTGGCATATTTGTGTGCAAGGTAACAATGACATCTTTGTGGCTATCCATCTTTTTTAAAGTTCTCATTATACTTATCAGACAATTTTTAGCTTGCAGAGCAAATATTGCAGCAGAAGCCTGTCTACTTCCCTGTGGACCAGGAAGGTGTGGCTGTATTGAGGCTTGAAATGGCATTGTGCTTGCTGAAGGACACAGGTATGCAGTAGTCTACCAGCTATACTTGTTGTGTCTGTACTGGAATAAAATACATTAGGTTTTTTATTTTTTTTTATTTTAAATAGATGACCTGTCTGAGCTGTGTCGGGCTTGTGGGGAGGAGAGCTCTGGGGCCGAAACGGATGAATGGGTAAGAAGTGTAATTCAACTGCAGACTGATGTTTGGCTGGAAAACTGAGATCCATCTTGGATGGATTACCTCAACATCACTGGGTGAACTCTTTCAATTAGATATTGAAAATGTATAGTTGTAAATCATGGAACTTGCATGTCTCTGCACTTTCTGAGGACACTGGTGCCACTGATGGAAGATCACACCGACTCTACACAGGACCACAGCTAAGATTTAAACCAAAATCTGACATTGTCACATAACTTTAAAACCTTATGTCTGAAGATTAAACTGCAATCATTCACTGAATAAGTGACATGAACCTCAACGTTCACAGGAATCTAACTATCTGTTTTCTTTCTTTTCAGATTGAGTGTACCAGCTGCCAATTTTGGTACCACATAGTATGTGTTGGCCATCCCTCCACAAAGGGGAATTATTCTTGTAAAGCATGTGGTTCCTATAGTATCTAAAAGTAGAACAGGAGCCAGAGCCTTCAGTTACCAAGCTCCTCTCCTGTGGAACCAGCTTCCAGTTGTGGTTCAGAAGGCAGACACCCTCACCACATTCAAGAGTAGGCTTAAGACATCGAGACAGACGACCACCCACCTAGAGCCGAAGGATCTGTCCTAGGTTTCTGCCTTTTAACAGGCAGTTTTTCCTTGCCCTTGTCGCCAAGTGCTTGCTCATGGTGGTACTGTTGGGTCTCTGTAATGTTATTAAGAGTTCAGTCTAGACCTGCTCTATTTGAAAAGTGTCCTGAGATAACTTCTGTTATGAATTGGCGCTATACAAATAAAATTGAAGGTTAAAAAATAAAAAAAATCCTTGCTTACAAATCATTTCTTTCCTTCAGTCACAAATGGGTCAATTTAGCTGCTATGTAAGACTTGCATTGTATATTGAACTGGAGTTTGTCCACCATGATCACATGTGGGTACATTTGTTTTCTACACCAGAGCTGGTATGTTGCTTAAGTAGCCTAAGGATTTGATTTTGGTGGGTTTAAATTATTGACAATAACTCCAGTAATTCTAAAATGTGTGTGAAGCTATTGCTCAAACGATAACTCCGTTAAATCAGTTTTACATGCATTTAGGTCTTATTGTGCAGTATTTACCAATTTTATAATTATGACTTTATTTTCAAATCCAGAGTTGTGACGTGCAGCACATGTAGACTAAACTGAATTTTGTAGACTATTGGGATGAGTGAGCGAAACGTCTAGATTTTAATATTAAACTCGATGGACGGTAAATACAGATAGTGTAGCATGAATGTGCACTCTGCCACAGCTGACAAAGTTCTCCACACTGCTTGGAGCGTAAACTCGGACTGATTAATTTATAGGCTGGATATAATTGCACACATTAAAAACAACTGACACTAGACCGGTAACATGAGGATTTTGGACGTTTTATTGACGTTATCAGTGATATGTCACATACATTGCCATTCCCTATAGTCCCCACTTTATACTCTTACAGATTTGAGAACCTGCTGGTTCCTGAGGAATACATAAATATTTATTATAGAGACATTTTTTGTGAAGGTGTTTTTTTTTTTTTCACAAGAGAAACTACGAGCATTGAGCTCATCATCTCAACCAGTCTCACTCAGGATAATATCACAGGTTAATCCAAACTCGAGCTACTCCGTTAATGTGGTTTTACAATAGTGTGAGGATGTGGTTGCCTTTATAAACAATTACATTTTGGTGTGTTTAAATTATTCAAAATAGTTAGTGTTTCTAAGATGTATTGTAAAGCCATTGTATGATTACAATATACGATATCCAAAGAAGTCTTTCTTCGATGTAACGTTATACTCGGGAAGGACTCAGAACTGAAACAACGGTAGCGATCAGCAGCTGTTAATGTCACCATGACAGTGAATAATAGTTCCGTAGAGAGGAGCAGACACCAACATTATTGTTCCAGCAAAGAGCTTATATTGCAGAGTTTTAAAAGTCACCAACAAATGAATGTTATAGAAGTAGTCAGAATCTTTATTTCCTGGTTCAGCAATAAGGGGTCCTAAAAAGCCACGCCTACACACATCTGCCTCAGTATCACCAGTTAATTCAACCACCAGTTAAACCGACACACCGGCACACTAAACATTTATGGTGTTACTTTATAACTATTACTATACACTTGGCAATGATAGCAGTGCTGTCGGACTTAGAACGCAGTGTAAATGGTTTGGCAGTGGCATATTATGAGTTCCGGTTTTGGGATAGTTTTTTGGGCTACTTTTGTGGCCGTTGGTCGGGTTTTGTCACACAGATCTGGCAACCCTGTCCTGGGGGCTTATGGACTGAAAGGTTCTCAGCAACGTGCAAACAAACGTTACTTCCACTTTACTGCAGACTAACGTAACGTTAAAGTTCGTTGTCTAGCGTCTGTTAACGGTAAGTGATGTGGCGTGAGCTTAGTGTAGTGCAGGGCTGGGTAACGCTTGCGGACTCGTTCTTGGGGCTATGGGGCTCAGCCGCTAACAGCAAATAAAGCGTTGTATGATTAAGCATTAAGACCTAGCCGTGATTTTACATGCAGATGGTTGGTGATGTTTTTTCTATCGATAGGTTGCGGTAAATGTGGTTATGAGCCATACAACTGAGGTACCACCATGGAGGAGCACGGGTTGAGGGAGAAACCCCGTCAAATCTATAACTGAGATGAGACGGGGTTTCAGCTGGACTCGTCGAGGGGACAAAACATGCTTATAGGCAGGCCCAGGGGACCAGGGACCACATCGCCTGCTGCTGCTTGTTTTTGATGGGCACAAATCCCACCTGGATCCAGAGCTGGTCCGGGTGGCACAGAGGGAGGAGGTCATTCTCCTGTGCCTTCCACCACACACGTCTCACATCCTGCAGCCTCTGGATATGAGTTTCTTTGGACCCTTGGAGGCAGATTTCTCTGGAATTACAGGAGATCTGTCGGTAATGAGCCAGTTTTCAAGGGTCCTTAGAGACTCATATCAGAGGGTGAAGGATCAGGGAGTGGTGGTGGCTGGGTTCAGGAGGTGTGGCCTCTACCCTCTGGACCCGTAAGCCATTGATTGGTCACAGGTCATGCCATCCGGACCGCGGCGTGGGACCTCCTCGCCACCTCCGCCAACCCCATCAGCATCTTCCTGGGCCATGCCTGATGTTACCCACCCATCCCAACACCCCCCACACACACACCCACAGCCACGAGTCCACCCCCTGTCCCCAGTCCACCCAATCCTTACCGTACCCATCCCATCAGGCAGGATCTCAGTAGACCTGGCCCACCTCCTGCCCGAGGTGCGTTATAACACCGGCAAGGTCAGGAGGAATACCACCAAGGCCAGGATACTGACGGCTCAGGAGATGTCTGATGCCATCGAGGAGGCGGAGGACCGTGCTGCAAGGCGGGAGGCCCAAGCTCTGGCCAGAGAGCAGTACCTGGTGGCTCCCGTCCCAGCCGCAGAACAGCATCCCCCGGGGCTGCCTCGGCCTCCAGCTCCGGCCTTTCCATCGCCGGTCCCTCAACCCGCTCGGACCCCTCTAGTGCCTCCCACGGTCACCAGCTGCCTGCCCCTAGCGGAACATCCCCACCTAGCCTGCCTGCACCTGGCTGGCTACTGGATGGTAAAGCACATGTTTTTTTTTTATTATTTCCTCTGCAATTTTAATACAGCTTTGGGAAATAATTGTGTTGTAATACTAAAATATGATTTTTCTTTTAGAGCCATCAACATCTGCCTTCGGCCTCCGAGGGTCCAGATTGTCTTCCTCTCCCTCCCAATGTAAATGCTTTATATCATCTATGAAAACAAGCAGTGTCCTAAGGTTAAGCAGTCCTAATGCTGGTGATATTAGGGATGATGATGAGTAAACAACACATGTCATCTTGTTTATACAGCCTGCAGACAGACAGACAGCTGCGCCATTGTCCAGCTCCTCCCAGCCGTCTGCTGGACCCACGGCATCCACTGGTATTGTATTTAACATTAACAGTCTTTGTGTGCCATCCCACGATATTCAAAACATGTTCTTAAATATATTTTTTCTATGAGTAGGTCACACCAATATGGAAGATCTGTGTGGCCAGTGCAGGGAACCTGACCCTCCGGGTGTCTGCTCGGAGGGATTGGTGCCGTGGGTCCAGTGCAACAAATGCACCAAATGGTTTCACACCATTTGTGTCGGCTGGGAGGAGCTGGACAAAGACGAATTTTGGTGTTTTGGGTGCCTTAATATGTTCGATAAGTTTGTCATTTAATTTGTTTTTAATTTGATTATCTGTTATCTATTTGTTTGTATATATTGTAAATATTGCTGTTTCATTTTAGTAAAATATTTTTCATGTCATATCATTTTTCTTTTGATTAAATAATATAATTGTTCGACTCGGGACACCGGCAGCTCACGGCTAAATCACCGGTGTTAGCATCCTTTTACCGACTCTAGTAAAGACCGAGCAAAAGTAAATGGTTAAAACGATACACGGTTAGAAAGGTAAGAAGTTCGTCTTTACTTTAGCACCTTAAAATCAACCGAAACCATTCCATGATCGTTGAACTTAGTAGTTAAAGGGAATTCATATCGAATATTAGCATGAAAATCGTTCGGGTCAGGGTTCCGGTAACTAACTAGTACACTCTTGCTAGGTAAACGTTGTTACTATTAACGTTACGAGCCAACGTTGGCTGGCGAAAATATGGCGGACTTTCCAGTAACGTAACGGACAAAAGCGATTTGACTATAAAAACAGTATTTAAGATGATTGTAAAAGAACATGATTTTTCTATTAACTTAACCCATGTAACTTGAAAACGAGTAACGTTACACATCTCCCACATCTAGAAAGGAGTTTGTCTGTCTGTGTGATTTTCGCTTGTTCTTGACATTCCCATCAGTATTTTTCTAGACCTTAGTCATCTCCACTGCTTTCATATTAGAGATCAGATGAAGTTCAGCTGGAAACTAACAGTGGTGACAGTGGTGAGGGTGATGCAGGGAGAGCAGCACTGCAGAGTTGCAGGTAGGTGCTATATGAAGGGTGAGGTGACTTTAGTTTGATCATGAGAGGAAGGTTTGAACATGATAAGAAGTGAACACGGTTTAACTTAAACAATAATATAACAAACATGATTTTAATATTGCACTAGCTTTCCCATCAGTATTTTTCTATACCTTATTCACCTAACCTTAAAGGGTTAGGGTGCTTGTAGTAACTGCAGTCTCGTCGCATTGTGTGACATTGTGACTGTTTTCCTTTCAGGGTGTTCAGAGCAGGCACAGACAGCTGAGAGACACTGAAGTCAGGGGACAGAGGACAGAGTCATATCAGCCACACCCAAAATGTATTGACGCTCAAGTTCTGTCTAACAGAACTCTCTCCTTCCAAGAGCGGTGGTACAAGGACTTTCCCTGGCTACATTATGATGCAGTGCAGAAGGCGGTTTTGTGTTTTTATTGTATGAGAATTTACCAGGACACACTCACACCATTTGCTGTAAAATCAGAGCCTGCCTTTATCACTTCTGGAGTCAAAAATTGGAAAAAAGCTATTGAAAAATTGAAAGCACATGAAAGTAGTCATACACACCGTCATGCTGTCTCTGTGACTGCACAAGAAAATCACCCTGTAAATGCACAGTTGTCCAGTGCTTTGGCAAATCAACAAGCAGACGACAGGCACTGTCTGCGGAAAATTGTGAGTTCAATCAAATATTTGGCACGACAGGGACAGGCCTTGAGAGGACATGAGGATGAAAACAGTCATTTTTATCAACTCTTGAAAGACAAGGCAGATGATGATGTCCTTTTAGCCAAATGGTTGCAGAGGTCCCAGAAAGATTACATCAGTCCACAGATCCAGAATGAAATTCTGTCGACAATGAGCAACAATATTGTTAGTGGAATAGCTGATACAATCAGAGATCTACCAGTTCTTCAGTATGCAGTTATTATGGATGGAACACAAGACATTTCCGGGCAAGAACAAGAAAGTATTTGCCTGCGTTATGTTGACAATGACCTGAAGCCCCATGAAGAGTTCATTGGTTTGTATTCGGTTTCTGATACAACAGGAAAAAGCCTTGCTGGAGTAGTTAAAGATGTGCTGCTGAGATTAAACTTACCAATGCATGGTTTACGAGGTCAAACTTATGACGGGGCAGCTAATATGGCTGGGAAGCATGCTGGTGCACAGGCACTGAAAACAAGAGCAGCCACTAGCACTTTACGTTCACTGTGGGGCCCACTGTACTAATTTAATCACACAGAAAGCTTGCTTAGCCTCTGTTCTGATCAGAGACTCATTGGATTGGGTCAACCAGCTTGGAGTCCTTTTGTCTCATTCAGGGAAGTTTAAGGCGATCCATGCAGCAATAGCACATGCAGAGAATCCATCATGCACTGCAATAAAACCCCTGTGTCCCACGAGATGGACAATACGGGGCAAAGCCATCACAGCTGTTTTGTCACAGTATGGGTCAGTGCTGGCTAGCTTGCAAGAGATGGCTTGTGGTGCCTCAAATACTGCATCTACTGCTAATGGCCTGCTAGGGCAGTTTAGGAAAGGCAAAACAGTTTTGGGTCTCCTCCTTGCCTCACCAGTGATTTGTGAGCTTGATCTCTTTTCAGAAGAGAACTGAAACCATTGCTGGCATGAGGGCTGCTGTCAAAGTTGTTAGGACCTCACTCAAGGCCAAAAGAGATGAGGCAAGTTTCAAAACTCTGTTTGAAGAGGCGACGGCTGTGGTCCAGGATGACTTGCTGACTTTGCAAAAGTTGGAAGAGACACTTCTGAGTGGAGAGATTGATGCTGCAGTCATTGAGAAATACCCAGAGTAGAACAGAGAGTCACTTTCAGTGCAGCTTTCTATGTTTCGCCTGAACTACTCATTTAGCAACAGTGCAGAGGCTGCAGGGATCATTCGTGGATTGCCTGTAGAGGTACGTAGACTATTTGGGCAAGTGGAAAACCTGGTCAGGTTGCTTTTGGTAGTCCCTGTTTCATCCTCTGAGGCAGAGAGAAGTTTTATTGTCCTCCGCAGGCTCAAAACTTGGAGCCGGTCCACAATGACTCAAAACAGACTTAACCATGTTGCTGTCTGTCATGTCCATCAGGATAAACTTGACTTACTGGACAAGAAGTCAATTTTCAACCTTTTGTGTGCCACGGCACATGTTTGACACTGAAAAAAATCCAACTTTTAGTTGTGACAGAAAACTACATGGGAATTGATATTTATCAGTTCATTACATCCATTCTAATGTCTTTCATTTACCTTTACCTTCACACACCAGTTAGTTAGTGGACATGTGGAAGGATATCACAATGGAGATTAAAAACAAGTTGGTTTATATGTTAAAATTCTTGATGCTGCCTTTCACCTTAACCTTTGCATGTATCTGTGTCTGTTCATTGAGGTATAAGAGACAACTAAGAAAAGAAAATTTATTCAGAAAATTTGAATTCAAATTTTGATCAATATATGTTTTTTATTAATCTACAAAACTGGATGATTAGGCCTGCAATTAAAGAATTGATTTGATATTTATCAGTTATCATTACTGCCATTCAAAATGTGTTTTCCTTTATCTTTATAAATGTATCTTTTTAGTAGAATAAAGTATGTTGGTGAATGTTTTGCAGTGTAGTTAATTTATTACCTATTTCTGTTCAAACCATTAACGGATCTGTCAGGTTTCCAATATGTGTCCCCCCCAATGTTAAACTCATTCCTACGCCCCTGATGTAAACAAAAGATTAAATGGAAATGTTGCCGATCTTCAACCTTAAAGGGACAGTTCGGGTTTTTTGAAGCGGGGTCGTATGAAGTACTTATCTATAGTCGGTGTGTTAGCTACATTAGCTGCTGCTCAGCGATCCCTCAGTTTGGAGAAGCAGAGAGCCACTCCAGCACAGACGATCAGCTTTGCACTGCAGTGAACAGAGTCCAGATGCAAAGCGAATTTTAACCACCTAAAACAAGGCCCACCTAAAAAAATCAGAGAAAATTCACACCGCTTTAAATCACTGTCAGACGGCCCTTAAACCGTATAACTCACGTATTCCTACGCATAAGCACAACTTTTGCCCGCTGCAGCCGCTCTGTATTACGCCGCATGTGTAGGAATACGTGAGTTATACGGTTGAGAAATGTAGTGCCAAAGGAAGGGCCGTCTGACGGAGATGTAAAGCGGTGTGAATTTTCTCTATACAACGTACACTTGAACTGATATAGATGTTTTTAGGTGGTTAAAATTCGCTTTGCATCTGGACTCTGTTCACTGCAGTGCAAAGCTGAGCGAATATTTCCATGCACTCGCGTTCCCTTCTGGCACACGCACCTGTTCGCAGTTCACTGAATCTCTGGTACCTACAAGGTCATTTGAATAATAGATTCAGTTCCTCTTTCAGTACGTCATATTTAAGGCTGTCCACCTGAAAGAAGACAACTTCCTGTGCTTTCCCGACTAGTTTACACTGAAGGAGGATGGACCACATGTCTTTGGGCCAGTCTTGTGCAATAGCAATCCTTTTAAATGCTCCAAAATAAGAGTCAACCCCTGACTCACAAAATATTTGGACTAAAGCTATATTTATGCTGACATCAAAACCCTGTTTGAATTCAAAAGCTTCCCGCGAAGGTGCCGATCTCTCTATGCGTAATGTTTGCCCAGAAGAAATCCTCATTGCCTCCATTTCAAGCTCTCTTAACTTGATTTCTTTGTTGGCCTCAATTTCATGCTTGCGTACCTGTAGTCGGAGGTCATACTCTGCTTTACGAGCCATTTCCTTTTCTTGTGATTCCATCTTAAGGCAGGCTAGTCAAACAGAGAAAACACCTGCTGCAGCAGAAAGTACATTGTTAGGAGAAACCTCAACACGAGGCTGAGTAGGGTCAACAAGGACATTTAACTCAACTAATTTCTCCAATATCTTATTTTTGATTTCCCTTTTAACACCGTGTTTTTGAACCTAGATGTTAAAGTGAGCTGCAATACACAATCATCCTTACGACAATAATCAACTTTTTAAAACATTGGTTCATCATTGAAGTCTTTTAAATCAAAACTCAATTTTGTTACAATCAAAGTGTTACAATCACAATAACTTGAGCAACATTGATTATCTTTGCTCAGGGAAAAAATATCCCGGACGAGTCCCCAATTGTTACATCCCCATTTTAAG